ACACATAAATAGGGAAATTCAGGCGGTGGTGGTGGGATTCGAACACTCGTCCTCCGGGGTGATAATTGGTGACGTTACCACCGGGCCACCACCGCCGTTCATTGGCAGGGTAGGGCAGAACACAACTGCCACCTAGGCAAGCTTCTGCTATGTTCAGTTTTCCAACCTGCGCGTTAAAGTCACCTGCAAATGCAACTATGTCGGAGCTTCGACTCATCCGAATGAGATCAGTGAGTTCATCGTAGAAAGCGTCCTTTTGTGTATAAGAACTGCAACTGGTTGGTACATATGCTGATACGGTAAACAAACACCTTTTAGTGTTGCTTCCCTTCCGGACGCTGATTGAAACCTGGAGACGCATTGCACATGAATAACTGTTGGCGGGGATCCAATCGATAAAGGAGGAGCTCTACCCTGTTGCTGAGTACAATACCTAACCCGCGCTAGCCTACTGAACGAGCTACAGCGTCGCCTGATGTGTGAAGCACGTATCTCAAAGGCAAATCTGGAGCACTCAAGTGGCTTATAGTAGTAGGATCCTAGATATGAGTCTCCGACACTCAGAAAATATCAATCCCAAAGGATTCCATTGTACACGCCAGACGAGCTTGTTGATTTACCTGCATCAGAATCCTCACCCTGATGGGCCTGCAGATTCAATGTTTGACGAGGCTTAGAATCTGCAATTCTTTTTAAGATACCTTACAGTGTTATTTGGCCATTACCTTTGGCGAGCGACAACTAAGTTACTTGAAGGAATATTACAGTTCGTAAGAAGAGGAAAATGGAGAGGGCTGGAATATATGAGCAGTGGCTCACTTATCAATACCCACCCGCTCAATGCAATGGGCAGCGCAGTCCTGATTATCCTGCGCGACGGCCGATGCGGTATGAAATTATTTTCATTTTGTGCGTGCATTGGGGTTTGATGGACGGGTACTGCTAGGGTGTCCAATCACTAAGCAGGAGAATGATTAGGATTCTCGTCCAAAGCCTTTAGCTCTAGCAAGACCCAACCGCAAGGCAGCGGGTGAAGCGAAGCGGAGGCCAGTTTACTTGAACGGTTATTCCTCCATTATTTTTTACCGACTGAAAGGCAAATTCCAGTCGAACCCCCAACCCGGAGGACCAAGAGGCTGCACTTTGTCTGACCTCTACCAATTGGCCTTCCAGGCATGATAAGATCTCCTGACTTGACAAAAGCCATCCTGTGTAGCTGGTTGGGTCACAGAGGTGCAGAAGCCATCGGTGTGATGGCTTCTGCACACATCCACATCAAGGTGCAGTCTGGTCGTGATGGATATATATATATATATATATACATAAATTATAACTGCACCACAAAATTAAACTAAGGAAATAAAATTTCTCCGGGCGAAATCACCTCACCGTAAACTCCAAGGATAGCAGAAGTCTGTGAGTGCAATGACCGCATTAGATGCGGTAATAAATATGTCAACATAACCGATCAGTGTTTGAAGGACTTTTTCGCTATGATCTCCCATATCGATCGGACATTCTCGCAAACCTGGATGCTAATGGATGACTTACATATGATTACAACAAAGATAACTCATGCAATTATGCACAAAGGTTTTCTGACCATCTAGGGGGTACTGGAGGACGAACAACATACCGAATCGTGAGTCGGAGCAGTTTGAATTGGACTTGATAGCGGACGCATACTAGAGACACTCGGTGTTTGCACTAAGTTCACAACTATCTCCGGCCTTTCGGGTTTCAAACTCGGTGGTTTCTGTGTGGTTGTGTGCGAGAGAAAGAAAAAACAGACGTCAGAGGGTTTTAAATTGTCACTTTGGGTACGATGTGGAGTGAAAATAATAAATACCTTTTTGGAAATAAGCTTACGTTAACTGCATATGGGTTTAATTCCCTGTGTGATGGATATATTTGTAATACTATTGAGACCCAACCCAGAGTTCATTGCCTCCAGTTTGCCTTGTACACTTCCAAACTTCTCATAAGATACAGACATGGTGGCAATAAACCGACGTGGAGAAGACTAAAACTTCCTCTAATAGTCATCAGCACGGCGTATACATCGTTTACTTGGGTTAAATTTAGTCGATCAAATGAAACGGGATTGTTCAGTTATGATGATTGACCGTGTACGAGCATAAAAGATTAACAAAAATGGAAGCAGAATATAGACTCCACGGTAAGTGGATCGATTGTATCAAAGGCGTATCTGCACATAGGGTCGGGTAATGCAATCGAATAAGCAACGCTTTACTAATTATCAAACACCTAGCATTGCATTATGGTTTTTAAGGCAAATTTGGGTTTTGTGTCTTGTTGTCATGAGATACTCTGCAATAGGTGACCCTGGATGTCTTGTGATGAATTGACCATCTATGATATGTTGCGTCATCGATTTCACCAACCACTTTGGAATATGGTCGACCACCCATTATGAGATCTGTCTCAATTTTATATTTAAGCTTCCAGGTGGACTGATACTATAGAGAAATTTATGGGATATCAGAATATTGGTACCTGACTGATAGGAGAGGGCAAACAACACCAGTTAAACAAGCGACTACTGTTATAATTCCAAAAGGCAGTGCTTGGCTGAGGATAGTTGTTTATTACAGATGGGACATCAGTAATTTGGCATACTTAACACGGAAACATACCATTGTATTTCTTGGCCGCACAACGGGTAATGAATGTAGCAATCGATAACTAATCTTTGAGACACAGCAATTTGCCCTCTGTGATCTTGTTAATTTTTGATCGTCGAAATAAATCACCAACAATGTGATCTACCACTCACAAGTGAGTAGTAACTCACAACACTACAACTAGTGCATTGTAGTACTACTTGCACTGAAGCGGTTGCATCGGAATGACCGGCGCTTTCTCACGAAGTCTCGGAGTAGCAGCGGAATAGTGGATTCCACGAGTGGCTGCAGAACATCTCAGAGTATTGGATTGTGGGATCAACAACCCGGAATCTTTCATGACTACGGACCCATCCTGCTCAAAACCGTTTGAGTATTTGTGTTTCAACCAGGTTAATCTTCTGCAAATTTTATTTCCCCAACAAAAGACTGCTGAACTCAGATTCAAGAGTCTTGGTATTATGCTTTCACAAGACCAGTACCGGAATGAGGGGAGTTCTTTCTTAGGAGCAATGATACAAGTGTGAGTAAATTCGGCTACACCGATCAAAGCGTAACATCTGAAACAGATCAATCGTATTTTCAATAGGATAATTGATGAAACAGTTCGATGGTAATTTTACATTTCAATTACAATTTTGATAACAGGGTTCGATATTGGAGGTCTTGTGTATTTGCGCACTAAAACATTACTCATAAATTTGAGTAGTACCTCATTACGTTGGTGTAAGTGGTATAAAATGTAGAAAGAGAAAATAAAAATAATGAAGACGGAAAAATTCAACCATTCCTATGTGAATTCTTTCGCTTTGTAAATTATATTTTTTTTAATCAAATACTCTTCGGCTTATCAACATACTGTTTTCAATATGGGTGATAGTTTCGATATTATTTCGGATTCATTCACCGGTCGATCCTCTGCGGCAAGTACTGTGGTGGAGGTAGGTTGTTCCGTTATTAAAGGAGTCAAAACGGATATTGGTAGGGACGATTGCGATTGTTCTTGTGCTCGATCGGTCTTCGATTCGTATGCTTTATCAGTTGCTCTTGTGGTAATTTTACTAGCCTCAGTAGTGTCATCCTGATAAAAGAATAATGTGAGAAATGTACAGAAAAATAGATCAGAATACCATCGCTCGATTTCTGTGGTCACATAACGGCATCCTAAATGTAATGTTACTAAATGAGATATTTATCAAATTGGACGAAATAATTCACCAGACATTAGATCACATAATTTTTATCAGATGACTACGTAGTTACAGTTAGATGATTGATGCAAACATGCGAAGAATATACCTGAGGTTTTCTGGATAGTTTGCCAATAAGTTAAATCTCAGTGAGCAACTCTCAATCGCAGTCGAATTGGGGGACAATGGCATCTTCAACCGAAACTTCCGCATAAAGCGACGTTCCATGATACATTCATTCTTTTCCCATACATAACTCACTCTAGCTTTAGATAGCGCACTGATTTACTTGTAATAAACCTTCTGATAAAGCAAAAACTCAAACATGGCAAATATTAGTGTATCAATATTACATAACTTTATTTCACTCCTGCTGTTTCATAAAGCACAACACTGTTATGTATCTTCATTAGAACACTCCTTTATTGATTTCTGTTTCGGACTGAAAACCGCTTGATCATTGGTGACTGCCCCCCCCCTCCCGCCATATTTGGGGGGAGATCTGGCAAACTTTCAGACTCTTAGTCTTCCTTCTTGTCTATCAGTGCCAGTGTAGTATGCGAACCTTCTATCCTATAATCCACCTTTTGTAAACAAACAATTAGTAAACATCAATTATTCGTGAAATGTTCTCATCTGGTCTCCGGAAAATTATCTTAATGCAGAAAAGTTTATTTTTGTAACTTCTTACTCAGACATTGAGCGTTATACGCATGTTTATAGCCCATATGGATTGAAACTGAATTTTTCCGTGAAACTGGTCAATTTTGTGGGGTTAAATGGTCTTGAGACTAATAATTGAAGATGAAAACAACGTTGAAAAGGGGTTGCAACTTTTGTTACCGTTATCGCATAACAGTGTTCACAAAAGTAATGATTTCTGCAGGTACGTGAGTCAAGGGTAGTTGAAGCGCTTCGAACAACCGTTTCTAAGTACACAGTAATGCTTTCAGAATTCCAGTTACCAGCGACTCTGCAACTGCCCATTAGCGTGCTCGCAAAGAATTTGATCTTTTTGAAATTACTCTTTATGTGACAATAAAACTGGTATTACCGACATGATTTCCGGTTTCTATCAGATAGACTAGCATTGCATTATAAATGCTTTCCTTAGACACTTCACTGTTGTCGACGGTGGGTTCATTATGCGTTCACTAATTTGTGTCTCTCTATGGAATAAACATTATTATTTGTGTCACCGAAAACTTGGTAAAACTCATTGGAGTACACTACTCCAGTTAACTTAGTTATGGATTAAAGCGAACCGTGGGAGAGGAGGGGAGGGCCAACAACACAGCTTTCGTGATTGAACAGAAACATTTGATCTAAATGGGAGGGGGAGGCAAAAATAAACACGGATGCATACACACACACATCTATATGTGGTCATGATTCATGCTATTTGGTAAATGATAACAATGTGCTGCATTTGACTGGTGAACAAAGCACTGGGAACGAGATTGTTTGCTAATTTGACTTCCTAATTCTTCAATCACCTGGTTAGTGTAATTATTGAGTTTTACTCCTTAAATACATCTTTCCCATCTTCTTTTTTATTCTTTTTCCACTCTCCTTTTTATTGAATAAATAATGATGCAATTTTCAGAAAGGGGAAACGGTCAATCAAAGGACTGCCATACAACACACTATGGGAAAAGCTAGACGGTGGCGGTGGGATCGGAACACTCATCCTCAGGGGTGATAATTTGTTAACCTTACCATCGGGCAACCACCGACTGACTGATAGACTCAGCTTCACGGCTTGAACCCTTTGTATAGTTTTGGTCAGTACGAATACAAACTCTAACAAATCATTGTTTCATATTGTGAAACCGTGCAAGGGCAAAGAAATCCATTTTCGCTGGCTCCCATTGTGTATAGAATAAATACTTTTTACAATAAAAGCTACTGTGTGTTGGCCTATGCAGATTACTAGACATGGCAAAATGGATTTTGATTAAAATAAAGAGAATTACTGAACTCCAAGGTGTGAAAGCTACTAATTTACATGGTGTCATGTGCCTGTAGAAAATTGATTACACTTGCCCTAAAATAGCAAACTTGAAGGAATAAATACACGTTGATAAAATAACTACTGTTCAATAGTTCTGTGTTATCTCATGGGTCAACTACAAGACTCTAGATACCAAAAATGCTCGACAAAGCCAAATCAATGTGAATGTTCAAGGGCACCCGTCACACTTCGATTGGGTAGATGGAAGAAGCGAGAGATCATATTTCTTGGCAAGAACCTCGATGGGAACCCTACCATGGAAGGGCCAAACTAGCCCAATTGTCTGTTTTCTAAAGAGGAATTACTACAGCCTCATCAAACCGTTTGTAGATGTTATACAGTCAGTTTGGCAACTTAATCGGTGAGAGAATTTGCCGAGCGAAAAGGTAGAAACCAGCCTTCGGTATTTGGGGAGTTCTCATAACTTTTCGGATTTGTTTCAAATCCTATACTATAGGTCAAACGCAGATACAGCTTTCCCAGTTGATTCACTGCTTTAGGAAAGGTAGAACACAACTAACCTTGCCAAATATGTCACCTGCGCTTGCATCAGTATAATAATTGCTACTAAGCTGTTTATCAGTGATTAGGAAAATAAATATAGATTATATATGATTGGTGGGGTATTGACCAACGAAAAAGACCTCACAGGGGTAAAATAAAACTATTTGGTGCACTTTCAGCCCTAAATATTTTTGATCTCATTATGTAACGTGTAGACAGAACATTATTTAGAAGTTCATCAAAATATTCGCGTTGTGTGAAACTCCAACGCTCGTTGGAACGTTGCTTGTGATAATCCACACGGCTTAATGAGGCTTTATTTCGTGGGTTTGAATAGTTCTTCCCAGGTAAAAAGTCAACTAAAGAGCGAGATAAATAGAAGTGATCAAAGAACTCACTCAGGACAGTGGCCGAATGTATCACTTGTCATAGAACAATGTTGCATAGTTCTTCAAATTATACAAAGTTGTGTAAATTTCCACATACGAACTGTACTGAAGTAGTAAAGAAGTATCCAAAATCATCTCCTAATCAATTGTTCGTATTCTAAAAGCCAACCGTGAAGATATTCCGTCTTTTGAATTCTATTTGGAGTTTTGAGATTTGTGCATCTTTTTAGCACTGGTACTCACTTAAGACATCGTTCACTGTGAAGGTACAGCTGCTTGTTTGAGACAAACCTCTCAAAACCACAACTTAACTAAATGTGAAGTAATAACCAAAATACAATAGAATAATCTCAGAACAACAGGCGTTGTAATCGTGTTGTATTTGTACGCCTCATGTATGTTTTCAGTTTTAACTACTCTGAAAGTATCGGATTTTCCTATTCTTAATACTAAATGAGGTTAACGGTTGAAAAAACTGAGAAGCGAAGTATTTTTTTGTTACAGAGCTTACAAATACTGATAATATGCCGAGATTAGTTCAAACCTGACTATTCCTGTATATCCTAATAAAATCTGCACAAGAAAACTTACTATCCAGTGAGTTAAAGACATATAACACTTCTTTTTTGTTAAACTTCTAGATGTTTGTATGTATTTTATGTTCACAGGTTCTCGTTTTTCTAAACTGATGCTCGACCCAACTATTTTCAGATAGCTTTAGCTCTGAAATTGAACGGGCGTGAATCGACATACAACACTGACCTGGTAATGATAAATGCATCAAACATAACCGGATTTAGTGCTCTGTTTGCAATCAAATCTCTGCAATCAGTCATTCTTACATTCACAACAACAATGTATCACTCACTTGACTAGAGGGAGCTACTCGTTGAACTGTTGCCGGTTCCAGGCTTTGATTTTCCACACTGCTTGCACCGCTGATGAGATCTTTTGATTTAACAGACAGTTTATCCCTTGGTGGATATGTCCACTTGGGCACATCTAAAGTTTGATCAACATTTTGACCCCAGACTTGGTCCGGTGTGTGTACCATGAGCGGTAGCTGTGTGGCTTGTTGCTTGATTGACATGTATCAAAAATAAAAGAGTAGAGTAAAAACCACACCACTGCAGAGACCAAATGGAACTAAATTAACAGGATCCTCATAAAATATCGAAGGATAAACTAGTTCGTGTTCAGGAATTCGTGATGCAGCCCATACATCACAGTATGCAGGTTTTGCAAGTAAAGAAAGCTGGTGATTTTAGGAGGGGGTAGAGAATCTACATCATTACTGTATAAGTGTAGTTTCGGGAGTTTAATCACATTGATCATATGGTTACTTACTTGACTACCATACGTTTGCGATAAGGTAAGGAAGAGTTTGCGAAGGTTCACGAGCGTCAAAGTTTATGATGCTTAGTCTCTTGGTTTCCCTTTCAATTTTTGCAATCATTACTCCTGCACTTGCGTGTGTCGGTTTTGGTTGCTATCTTTTGGCCGCCCGTTTAGAGAACGTAGTAAAAGGAAGACTGGAAAAGTGAAAGCAGTTTCAAAAATCCGGAGAATTCCGGTAGCCTTAGGTTGAATGAAATTGAAAAAATGCACGGCACAGCCATAATCCTAAGTGTCTCTAACCACCGAATACAATGATCCCGAGGTTCCCAACCAGGGCGGATGACGCTAACTATATTACCGAATCTCTTAGGAAGAGTTTTCATAGTCGGGTCTTAGCTTGCACGCCGTTGAAATCTGCCCACTGTCTGCTTCGGCACATATGGCACACCGTGAAATTGCTCGTCCTAGCGCCCAACCAAATTCGTGCAATGCTGCGTAGACAGTGATGTTCGAAAATTAGTAGTCTATCTGTATCCTGTATTCTTAGTGGCCAATTTTCTGCATTATAGAACAGCACTGACTTCACTGCTGCAGCTAACACGGAACTCTTAACAGACGGACTAAGGTTTCCAGTGCTCCATGAGGATCTCAAGTTATAAAATGCCAATCGAGATTTCTGTGTGCCTGCCGATACCATCTCTGATGCGTCCACCTGGTGAGATATAACTGCCCGGATGGCGAAATTCGTCCTCTATAGCCTCCCTAGATAGGTAAGGAGCTGGACCAACCCAATGCTATAGCCACATTTTCCGCATTGAATATGTTAAACACATACTGAACAGGCTACAGCAGCACTCAAAACATCCAGAAAAGCTTGCGACTTTCAGGGACCTTGAGTTATTAGTGCAATGTATACTACAGATCAGACAAATTACCACTGGGTAGTGCATGAATACCAGAGTCGTCAAAGGAGGACATAGCTATTTCCAGAATCATCCATAACCAAGTTGAAAATAAAACAGACCCATCCAATATGTCATGTTCTTTAAATTAATTCATCTGTGGTTTTCACACGAGGATATATATCCATTTTTAATAATCTGTACGCTGACCGATTCGTACCGTTCATTTGGAAGCTGTTTATTTCTTCATACTGAACTCAGTTTCAGTTTCAGTTTTTACAACCATTACCATGCACTTTCGTGGGCCGGTTTTGGTTGCTGTCTTTTGGTTGCCCATTTGGATAAAAGAGCGAAATGAAGATTGGAATGTCGAAGCAAATTCAAGCGGAGGGTGGAGAATTCATATAGAGTGGTGTTAGGAAAATAACGAGTGGATGCGCGAGCGCCACTGTTTGCGACACCCAGCCATATCACTCAGTGTAGCTAATCATCGGTGACCATCAT